AGAGAGCACTGAGAGTCTTTGGGAAGCATATTCAGAGGATGAATAATTTTACGTGTCAAATAATTGTAAAATGGATTCTTGCATTGAAATAAATATATTGCAAATCCCTCTAATCCCTAAGGTTCTGTGATGCCAGTAAAGACGCACAGATAAACATAAAACCCTAAAAAGTAGCCAATAAAAAGTAATCCAGCAATATCAGTTGTTATATTAGGTAAAATGTGCTGGGAAAAATACTATGAAACTAAGCACAAAAAAACCCACAAACCTACTGCCCACCAGTCCATTCGGAATCAGAGTGACGCTATAGGACCCTACAGGGTAACTGACCCTATGGGTTTCTAAGGCTGTAAATCTTTATGGGTGCAAAAAGCCTCAACGTTCTCCCATGGAGATACTGGTGATTTCAAACTGTTGGCCTTACAGGAACCAGCCATGAGCTTACATAAAGGTTCCCAGGCTATAAATCTGTACAGGCAGGAACAAACAGCCTTATCTTTCTCCCCTGGAGGGGTTGGTGAGTTTGAACCACCAAACATGAGGTGAAACAGTCTAATGCTTAACCAGCAGCACTACTAGGGTTCCTTAAGACACACTTCCAAAAAAACAAATGCACAGCTATCGAGATGATGTCAACTCATAGCGACCCAAAAGACAGAACTGCCCTTGTGAGTTTCCTAGACAGCCCAAGACTGTAACTTTTTTAGGGGGCAAGTAGAAAGTCTTTTTCTCCTGAGGAGTGAGTGGCTGATCATTTCAAACTGCTGGATTGCAGCCCAACTCGTAACCACTAGTCATGGATTAAAAAGGAACATGGTGGCTTTTTAATAATTTTCATTTAAGGTTTCTTATTAATCTTAAATAGATGAGAATTAAAGTACCACCATACAGCTTTTTAATGCATTACTAACTATATAAATTTTTAAGTTACCCTCCCCAAAGGTTGAAACAATCTTCATATTCAACAGCCGAGAAAGATGGCAACTTTTTTTTTCTTTAAGAATCACTGATGGGGAAAGAGGCACCAGATTTCAACCCGGTGCTCCAAGATGTGAATGCAACATACAGGCATGGAGCAGGGAACCAGTGGAGATGTCTGAGGGGCGGGCTCCAATCCCAACTACGTGGGCACCTGCCCCACCCCCCAGAATAATTTATTTCAGAGGACAGCACTGAAGCAGCAGCTCAGGGAGAGGGACATGTCTGAGCAGAGCATACATATGGGAGCAAATAAAGGGGGAGGAAGAGAGAGTGGAGCATATCTGGCTCACCAAGACTTGAGGACGATGTCCCCGCTCAAAGCAGCCAATCCACAAAGAAGACCATATGGCC